TTACAAAGTATTTCGGGTATTAAAACCTATTTTTACACAAGTTTGGGTGTTAACTATTTGCCCATAGCTGGGGCCCTAACAGGTGCTGCCACCCCGGGCCAGGGTGGACCTGGGAACACCAGCAATTAAGAGGTGGTTCCACGCTCCTTAAAACCTCCTGATCAGAGGCTTTGCTGCTGAACGTAGTTTATCGTCTTACCCAGGACGCAGATGTAGTTTATCGTCATACCCAGGACGGAAGTATAAAGGACTAGTCAATGTGAGAAAATGTACTTTTTTAACAAATACATTATCTCACATTGACTACTCCTTTTTATATATACTGTTGTTTACACAATACAAGATCCAAGAGCAACTCAAGGTAGAGGGTTCCTGTATAATGTAAGGAAAGGCAAGACATGAAGTTCATGGGGTTATGCAGGAAAGATAACGATTAACCCTAGATTTGAAGTGGTCAAGATTGCTTTGCTCTATTAAACCAAATGAAAAATCCTCTTAGACATGGATGAATTGATAAATTCTCCACAATTTAATACCAATTTTGAGACATTTCATTTACAGGAAAAAAGTTAAAAAGAAGTGAAATATGAGTGATCCCCCAGTTTTGGGCCGCATGAAAATTCCAACAAATCCACTAACACGACGCGGCGCATCGTCGAACGTCACATTCTCCCTACACAAGCGACTGAAATAATTCTTTTATACATGGATTAAGCAAGAAATTCCGCACAGTTTGATATCTATTTTATGGGGATTCCATAGAGAGGAAAAAGTTGAAATGCAATCTCATCGAGCAAACCGGTTTTCGGACACTGTAAATTGTCAAAGGGCACAGCAGCGACATAGTCGAAACTATACTTTGCTCTATTAAACCAAATGAAAAATCCTGGTAGACATGGATGAATTGATAAATTCCCCACAATTTAATACTCGGAAAATTAATCGGGAAAATATTCTACTAGAAGTCTGATCAACAAAGCAGCAGTTCTTGGAAAGAAATTGCCCAATTCTTACTAATGGAATAGAAACTAAAGAATGTAAGTCATCAAGAGACATGACATGAAAATAGCGATAGAGCAGCAAGGTCACAACGTCTTGTCTGCGGGAAAGAGGTTGTAGGGTGGAAAATAATTCATCACCCACAAGGCCATGTAGACGTTTTTGAAATTTATCAAGGCAAGCAAGTGATGAATGAACAACCCCAGTCCAGATATGGTAGCAAGACTCCATTTCTTTTTCTGATCTGGCTCTTATAAAGATACAATATAGCAGGAGGAGTCTTTTAAAAATAGAGTATAGCAGGAGGAGTTTTGTAAAGATAGATTATAGTAGAGGGTCGTGTAAAGATAGAGAATAGCAGGGAGAGTCAGATACTTACTGGAGTGTTACAATGAACCAACCATTTTTTCAGCTTCTTCAGCAACAGATCACATATATGTCCACTTGAGGTCTGCAGAGAACTTGAGTCCCAGTAGACATTCAAGACAAGGAGCCTAATTTGTAAAGGTCAGTGTGGTGGGCCTAAGGAATATAGCTCGCCAGAACACATGTAATGGAAATAGCGTCTGTGTGAAAGGGCTTGTGGGGTAGAAAAAATTCATCACCAACAAGTCCGCGTAGACGTTTTGAACTCTATCAAAAGAGGCAAGTGAGGACTTGGCAGCTCCAGCTCAGATATGGCATCAATACCGTTTGTCCAGAATCTTTTGCAATAGATCGGTTATATGAATTCCACTTGAAGTCTGCGGAGAGCTTCAGTCCCAATAGACGTTCAAGGCAAGGAGCCTCCTTGTGAGAAGAATGACTCATCAAGATAGGTGTAAGTTCGGGGTCTGCTAGATGTTACGAGTTCAGTTTGGGTCGCATTGGATTTGACAAGCCACTTATCCCTCCACTGGGTCACGTGGTCTGGGTCAGAGGAGAGATGAGCTGTTAGGTTCTGGCCTTCCAGATTCTGGGAGGTGAACCTATAAACTGTTGGATCATCCACATAGATACTCATAGTGATCGAATTATGTTCTTAGGCATATCATTAATACACGGTGGGAAAATAGTAGGATCAAGAAGTGAATCCTGAGAAACGCTGTCATCGTTCTTATGGGCTTACGATGACTGGCCGTCAACAATGGCCTTTAGGGACCTACCTAAGATGAACTTGATAATTGGGTGAGCCCTTCCGTCGCTACACAGTATGTAGCAACTCCCAACGGCACATCTTCTCAATTGTTTTTTATATATCTAGTGCAATGGTCTTCAGGATGAATTTACTCTCTATTGCCTCGCTAATTCTGTGAATAATGGCAGTTAAGACATCAGGTGTGAATCTAGTAGGGTGAATCCATAGTGGTTACCGCTTGGGCATCTCGACGTGGTGCAGTTGTTATCAAGATTGTCTTGCTACAACAGTTACGACTGAGTAGTGAGTTCGATCCTCATTGAGTGTGTCATACTTTCGACCTTGTGTCACATCTCAGCTACGCTTAGAAAATCATTTAGGTCACTTCGACGTGGTGTAATGGTTAGCATGCTTGTCTCGCAAGAACAGTTATGACTGAATAGTGAGTTCGACCATACTAGGTGCGCCATACTTTCGGCCTTGTACCACATCTAAGCTAAACTTAGAAAATCACCATACTGGTTATCACTCAAGAGGTTGTAACTGTCGATGAGTTCTACAATCTTCTTCTTGATTATAGATTCGAAGAGTTTGTTATGCACTTTAACCCTTAAAAGGTTGGAGACTAGTGAATATCCTCAATTGCTGGTTTAATTTTCTCCAAACAATACGAGCATTACTCATTCTTTATTCCAAACTAAATGAATGAAAACAGTAGAATTTATGAATGATTTATTAGAATTCTTAAGTATCTATCTATATTTCTGAGATGAGGGATTATGTACACTATTTACATTATTCGGACTATTGTCCTCATCTTTGTCACCATATTTATTACAAAGTTTCGGCCATTCAGTGTCTGTCTATATTTCTGAGATGAGGGATTATGTAGATTATTTACATTATTCGGACTATTGTCCTCATCTTTGTCACCATATTTATTACAAAGTTTCGGCCTTTCAGTGTCTGTCAATATTTCTGAGATGAGGTATTATGTACACTATTTACATTATTCGGACTATTATCCTCATCTTTGTCGCCATATTTATTACACCGTTTTGGCCTTTCAGTATCTGTCTATATTTCTGAGATGAGGTATTATGTACACTATTTACATTATTCGGACTATTGTCCTCATCTTTGTCGCCATATTTATTACACCGTTTCGGCCTTTCAGTATCTGTCTATATTTCTGAGATGAGGTATTATGTACACTATTTACATTATTCGGACTACTTTCATCCTCTTTGTCGCCATATTTATTACAACGTTTCGGCCGTTGTCCGTTCCGGCCTTCTTCAGGTGGTTGGAATGTCGAGCTAAACCCTTTATTTCGCTCACTGGGGTAGACTGTACAACGGCCGAAACGTTTGAGAAGACGTTTCGTTTTTATTTTTAAAAAGTAGACGATAATAAATATACTGTTTAAAAATAAAAACGTAGCGTCTACTCAAATATGGGCATCCACTAAAAACAGCGTTTAAGTGATATATATATATATATATATATATATATATATATATATATATATATATATATATTAATTTTTAATTCAAATAATTATATTGAAGTTTTCGGCTCTTGTTTTGAAACATGAGAACTCTTATGTATCGTGTTGGAATCATATTTTTAAATAAATAATTATATTTATGCTCTACTTTTGTATCGAGCACTATTTTTTAAAAATAATAACAAAAATACTACAGAACTTTGTATTATTTACCTAACGAATTTTTTCCTTATATATATATATATATATATATATATATATATATATATATATATATATATATATATATATTTATTTTTTATTTTGCTTCAACCGTTATTCCAGTGGATACTCGTATTTGAAATTTTTTAAACGGTTTGTTTTACGTCTATCGGCCTGTGCATTGAAGAAATCTTAAAAACGAAAATGTACTCTCCGGCTGGGATCGAACCTGCGTCACTCTTTGCATTAGAAGACACCGTTTGATCTGGCGTGTTTTACCGCTCGGCTACAGAGAGCATCACTGTTCATTAAGGCTTTCCTTAAAGTTAAAAATCATGCTTTACACTTCCTCACTCAGATATTTTTGTCGAAAGTCCAAAGGGAAAATAGGACCGAAAAACAAGTGTTATGCCTCCTCAGATCGACACTTTGTGGACACCATACATAGCGATAAAATCCCGTTCAGAAATGTCTAAAGTAGAGGCTGTATAAAACCGCTTTCTCACATCGTTGGTTAAAGACGGTTTCGAGCGATGCGAGCGTGTAGGTGATACTTCTTCACACCTCGTAGACTGGTGCTACAGAATCACAAACATTGAACTGTACTGAATAACAAAAGCCACAGCACCTGAGGGATGCCAACAACAGCAACAACTAAAATGGATGATACATGTAATTCAAAGAGAAAGTTATGACATAATCAAGATAATGAAATAGTTTTAAGAATTTCAAATGACTGTTCGATCAATGAATGCTGAATGTTTCTTTATAAGGAAACGGCTAATATTCGAAGGGGGGAAATGAATTTAAATTTACATATAGTTTTTATACACTTTTGACGGGTAATATATATATATATATATATATATATATATATATATATATATATATATATATATATAAGGAAAGGCTAAAATGTCAACCAATCTCGCAAGCCGGCTTTTTTTTTTTTCAGGCAAGTGGGAGGATGTACAAGCCAGAGAAAACTACTCCACTATACCAGAGCACCGGAAGTGAAAGGGTAAAATCATGAAGATTGGGGAACGCGAGAGAGAGAGAGGAGAAAGAAAAAAAAATTGAATATATATATATATATATATATATATATATATATATATATATATATATATATATAATTGTAAGTGAGGAAATACATATATATATATATAATTTTTAAGTGAGGATAGATAGATAGATAGATAGATAGATAGATAGATAGATAGATAGATAGATAGATTCCTGGCAGAACTTCTATTATCACAGTGTGCGATATTTACTAACAAAAGTGATGTAAAGAAAAAGAATCTAAATGAAAAAAGATCTTAAATAAAAGAAAATTAAATCTAAAATTCCCAGCATCCCTCATTCCAAAGATTCTCTAAAAAAATTTGCATACATGATAAAAAAATAACCATAACTTAATTTTTAAACGATAACTTTCAGAGGAGATGTATTCATACTTTTCCCAAGGGTATGTCTGCGAAAGTGAACGTAAGGAACTCGATCGGAATTCGAACACGGCTCACTGATTTCTCATTTCAAGCCTCTAAGAACCTGCACATCCCAGCATACACCGAAAAAAAAATTGCGAGACAATGTGACAAAGACAACAAAGATAAAGATCGGCGAATTCGGCAATAACTTCTTTCTTCTTTTTCATTTGTTGCATTTATTGCTACTCTTTACACCTGAGTCGAGCGAACAGAAGGAGACGACAGGTAAAAGTCAGAAAGTAATCCGATCATCATAGCGATGACGACCATTGATGCCGGGTTTAAGGGTTAGTATGGGGGTTGCCTTCTCTGTCTCGTTGTTACGCTCTACGTCAACAAAAGCTAGTTGTAAATCAAACGCCATTTTAAGCTTCCTAGATAGTGTTACTGAGTCGCAAGTAATCTGATACAAAACAAGTATTTACCTCGAGCTGACTAGCATTTTTTTCTTTATTCGAATGCATCGCCCTACAATTATATCCGATCCGTCTAATATATTATAGGGACCTCATTCGGAAATATATCAGACTCATGGGAAAGTTTACCAGAATCACTTAAAGCTGTTAATAACTTTGGCTTTTAAAATTGTCGCGATGAGATCGTAAAATTTGCAGTAAAATTTAACACAATCGGTTCCACCTTGTCGATCTTTATTTCACCTTGGTGTCTCAAATTTCAAACATAGACTGACCGATTCTGAAGAGGAATTTTTTTTTTCTTTTCTTCAATTTTAGTTCCTAGTCATGAATTTCAAGTTTTCGCCACTTAGGATGTAAATCTCCCAAATTATTTATCTTCTACTCAGCCTATTAGCAAATACTTCACGTACACAGGCTGTGAACTATAAAGATTTATATGAAGCATTTTTGTCAACTAGCTTCTTCTTCTTCTTCTTTATGCCATGCCACTTCAGGACGTTGGCGATCATAGCTCTCCACAATTTCCTTTTCTTTGTCGCTCTTGATAAATTGTGTTTTTTGTTATCCCTCCTAAACATTGTTCCCCTCCGCATCCATTTACACAAGCTTCTTCTTCTTCTTCTACTTTTCTTCTTCTTTGTGCCGGGCTACTTCAGGACGTTACCGATTATGGTTCTCCACAATTTCCTGCCCCTTGTAGCTCTTAAAACATTTTGTCATTTTTTTTATCTTTCCTAAACCTTGTTCCACCATCCATTTACTCAAGCTCGCTTGTGTAGGTTATGCGTTGTTTTCCTCTGGCCTTCAATATGTCATGTGAGTATCACATTTTCCAAGCTGCCTTTCCTCATCATGTAGCAAAAAAATTTCAACTCTCTTTTTCTGATGTTAAGTATATGTTCTTTTTGTTTCCATTTTATCTAAAACTTCCTTGTTACTCACATGTTCGATCCATGGTATTCTCAGCCTTCTTCTGTAGAACGAAATTCCTGTTGCTTCAGTTATCTTCTACACCTGTGATAGATTATCTAGCATTTACTGCCATATAGGAGGACGGATATTACATAACGGTTTAGTACTCTTCCTTTTTTTTCTAGCGAAATCTTTCTATTTCTCATTAACCTGCTTAGCTTTTGAAAGGCATCTTTCGCTAGCCCAATGCGCCTTCGGATTTCAGTGTCGCACTTTCCGTCCTCTGTTAAAAAAAAAAAGCTTCCCAGATATTTAAATTTTTGTATTTGTTTGATTTTGGTATCTCCAATTTGTAATTTGCATCTTGTGTTGTCCCTTTTGCTAACAACCAGGCATTCTGTTTTAGTGCAATTGATGATGAGTCCTTTCTTCTAGCTTTCCTTCACTACCTTCTGTTTCCTTCCTTTGTCTACTATCAACACTGTGTCATCTGCACATGTTATGTTGTTAAGATTGTAGCTGCCAGTAATAAATCTTGGTCAGTCAATTATGTGCCATGCGTGATACACGTTTAGGCGATCATGTATTTGACAAGGCAGATTTTTTTTTCCGGCAGTAGGTTGCTATTTCTTTCTGCGGTAGACCAGTTGCCATCTTAGACTATAGAACCCGGTCTGTATTGCTATTTACCCATAGCTGCGGGAGAAGAAGAGGATTTCTCAAGGGTATTAGCACGTAAGTGATTGTAATGGATTCGACTGGAATTCGAACCCGGCTCTCCGATTCCTCAGTCCGAGCCGCTATACATTACTCCAACGTGCCTCCTCTTGGTAGTATTTCTAATTGTCTCAATGTGTAGGTTGAATGTCCGGTGAGAACACACATCCTTATCTTACAACCTTTTCCATTTTTGTATGTTTACTGAGTTAATTTTCTGTCCGTATGCAGATAGTTTGCTTTCAGTATAGGTTCTGGATTATTCTAATATCCTTCCGAAATAAGTCAAGGTTGTCTAGGAGTTCCAACAGTTCTTACCTTATCAAACGCTATTGCATAGTCTATAAAACATTTGCATTTGAACGGCTCTTTCTCTTATCATGCTGAGCATAAATATTGCATTCCTTGTTCCAGTGTCTCCAACGAACCCGCACTGTTCCTGTCCTATTCCCGGTTTAATTCCGCTGCGCGCTCTATTGATCAGTATTCTGATAAGTTTTGCTCATTAGGCTGATTGTCCGATACAGTTTGCATTCGTTTGCTCTAGGCTTCTTAGGCAGTGCTGTAAAATGACTCTACCTATGTCTTCCGGTATATCACCGCTGTTGTATATTTCATTTAATATACCTGTAATCTTGTCAATGCCGTAATCATCTAAGGCTGCCAGTATCTCTGCTAGAATTCCTTCTGGTCATGCTGCTTTGTTTCTGTTTCCTTTAACCAGTGCTGATTCCACTTCAGATTTTAATATTTCTGGTCGTTCGATATTTCTGTGTCTTGCAGGTTGTTCTCTCTCGTCGTGAAAGAGTTCTCCGATGTATTCATTTCATCTCTGAAGTATTTTTCTTTCTCTGTTAATATCCCGTCTTTGCATTCTATGCATTATTTCTAAAGAACTCGGCTACTATCGAGAGGGACACTTAATGGCTTACAGTCCTAACCACCATACTGCTTCTGCAACGGATAGCGGCTCGGATTGAGGAATCGGAGAACCGAGTTCGAATTCCAGTCATATCCATTACATTCACTTACGTACTAATACCCTTGAGAAAGATATGAATCCTCTTCTCCTGCCACCCCATCTATGGGTAAGTAGCAGGACAGACAGGGTTCTATAGCCTTGGATGGCAGCTGGTCTACCACAGAAAGAAATGGCAACCTACTGTATATGTTTTGAACAATAAAAAATATTCACGTCACTCTTACCCTCTCTATTTCTCTCTCTCTCTCTCTCTCTCTCTCTCTCTCTCTCTCTGTCTCTTTTCTCTCTTACTTATTTGATAATTTATTTCTCTCCATGCCTGTTTCACTCTCTCTCTCTCTCTCGCTCTCTCTCTCTCTCTCTCTTTTCTATAAATCTTTCTTCTTTCTGGATCTCACTTACATCTCTCTTATCCATTCTCAATTTATCTTTCTCCACACACACACACACGCACCCCCCACACACACATATATATATATATATATATATATATATATATATATATATATATATATATATATATATATGAGATTGTCTGGGGATCTCATAAGCGTGAAACCGACGGTCATAAACTCGTTCTGATGCACAAATCATTCCTAAAATCGTTCACACGTTACATTTATCAAGCTGGGCGGCTGAGCTACTCGACTTGCAATCCCAGTCACTGGAATTGGCCAAGAATGCGCACTCACCACCGACATCCGGCTGTCGGCCCGGTCAGTATGTGCAAACGCATAGCTCAACCCCTCCGAGAGAACGGCACCATATCCACCTGTCCCTAAGTTTCTATTACGTTTCTGACACTTATTGACACTGAATTCCTTTAGAATACCGTCCGGAATTCTCTTAGGAATCGGTGTTACCAAATCTTCGTATCTTTGGTCAGTAACATGTATATACTAGCTGAAATACCCACTTGGCTTTTTATTAGCATTAACACGTAGAGATTGTTTTCCTCTGTATCAAAAAACAAATAATCGGAAAATGAAAAACATTTCTTGACATTGTCTGACGTTTTGTTTTATCAGATCGGGGGGAAATCAATGAAAGATTAATCATTTTTGACTCGTATTTATTTCATCTTATTTCAGCTGCTTTTTGTCGCCTTCTACAAAACGTCTGTCCGCAATCGTGGATCAGTACACTTGATTATCTTCTAGGAGTTGCAACTAAAAGCTACAAAAATTAAAGTGAGAGTTACAATAAAATTCTATTGAAATTAAGTAAATCTGCAAAAATGGCATTGAAATTAAGCTGAAAGGAATACTTATTAAAAAGTAATAATAATTAATAACAAATCATCTAAGAAATTTGACTAATATTACAACTCAAGGCTCAGGGAATGATGATGTGTGAAGTGCGATAAAAAGCAACTGAAATTAAGATAAGTGTCACAATAAAAGGAAATTAAATTAAGATGAGTGGCGATAAAATTCAATTGAAACTGGGATGAGAGTTGCAATAAAAAGCAACTGAAATTAAGTGATTTGCAGTTAAAAAACAACAATAACTAAACTGAAAGAAACGTTTTTTATATATTATCATTAATTGACGATTCTTTGTCTAAAACTTTACTAATATGACGACTTATATTACAAACGCTGAGGTAATAACAACTAGTGAATTGCGATAAAAAGCAACTGAAATTAAGATGAGAGTTACAATAAAAAGGAACTGAAAATTTTTTGACGTCAAATCTCTTATACTTTCTTTTTA